TTCTGCCCCAATCCTCATCCTTTCCCGGGGTGAGAGATCCACGCCTAGAGAGGTCGGGGAGAAAATCCACTACTGACGCGCGAGAGGCGATGGCGTAACACGCACCTAGCGACCTCCTTCACCTAGCGTTATTTCTGGACGCGATCTCCTCCCCTCCCCTCTCCCTGTCATCCAAATTGCCATGAAGATCTCCCCGTGGTGGGAGGAGAGGATCCCTAATGGCCATGGAAATCTCCCCATGGAGGATTAGAGCCCTGGGATCTTTCCCCTTGCAACCAAATTAGGCCTACAAGTTCCACCAATGGAGGGGAACCGGATCCTCTAACATTCACAAGGAAAGTCACCGTGTTACAATGCTAGTCTAGTGTAAATTCAAGAAGGAAAGTTAGGGACTGTTAGCAAGTTGTTTAATATTGATATTTACTGTAGATATAAATAATTTAAAATTAATTTTATTTCACCATCAGTTTGTTTGTATGTAGTTACTATAAATGTACATAATAGATCCTCAATTTACAAATTAATTTAAGTCATTTTAGCCTTAATCATATGAATAGAAAGAAGGAAAGTTAGGGTACTGTAACTTCTCTAACATTCCTTGTGAATGTTAGAGGATCCGGTTCCCAATGGAGGAACGTCTGCCGCACTCCTCGCTTCCCATGTAGACTAGGACAAGGACTGATGTTAATCGCTCAATCACATGACTTGTAACTTGCTAAATGTCTTTTGGGGATTACCACGTAATTTCCCTCACGAAAAATCAATCATGGTTAGTATATCGTGTCTTTTTCTTCGTGCGGGCCGAAAGCTAACTAAAAAAGTAAAAAGCGTCATCTAGCTAATTTACTAAGTCATTAGTGCTCTTGCAACGAACTAAATTAACTCCGGCATAGTACTCCTAGTACTCAGTTCGCTAAACCCAGCCGGTTCATTGAACAAATACATGCATATCTATCTCTCGCTCTTTGTGCCTACGTTGGTGAGGAAAACAAACAATGAGCACTTTGCCGGCTCCCCTCTCCACTGCAATGTCCTCTGCTCTTGTTGTGGTCGCCGCGGTGGTGCTACTGCTGCTGCCACCGTTGGGAGCGCCGGCGCTGGCACGGGCACCGGCTATTGGGAGGAGTAACTGCACCACCCTCTGCGGCAACATCAGCATCCCTTGCCCGTTCGGGGTGGAGCCAGGCTGTTACCACGACAGCGGCTTCAAACCTCACCTGCAAGCAGTCCTACAGCCCGCCGCAGCTGTTCCTCGGCGATGGCACCGTCCAGGTGCTCGACATCGATCTGCCCAACGCCACGGTGCTCATCAACAGCAACACCCTGGACTTCCCGCACGATTATAACTATATTAACAGCAACAAATAAGGCATGTGGCACGCCAGCGGCACGCTGAGGTACGCTGCCGACAGGCCATACTTTGTAGCAGGAGGACGGAACAGCTTAGAGCATCTCCAGCCGTTGGCCCCCGAGGGGGCGCCTAAAATCGCTGCCGGGGGGTGACCCGGCGCAAAAAATGGGCCTGGGGCGAGTTGGCCCCCAGCCGCCGGTCCCAGGGCCGCCCCCAGGCGCGAAGAAAAAAAAATTTGTATAGCATTCAAGGGCTAAACATGCCAAATTTCGACTAAAACACGTCAAATTTTGGCAAACTTGAGCTTTATATTCGTGGATATATATAGTATATATAGTATTTTTTTTTCACAACAGGACAATGCGATATATATAGTATAATGAAGTTACAAGCGTTCTGGCTCCCGGTAGCATATGCTATCGGGTGAACAGTACCTCCAAAAAAATGTAAATGTTTTCAAAAAATTCTATTTTTTTTGTAGATTATCATGTTGGTGTTGCAAGCATGCTTAACAAATTTCATGCGGTATGGAGCAGCGGTGTTTCATTGGTGAAAAAACAAATTTGGAGCGACATTTGGTCTTTGATTTGTTTTTGTTTTTTGCGCAGGCCAAAATGCTTACCCTTTTTGCCCCAAAATTTATAGATAGCATTTGTATGTGACAAAGAGCACACGAAAAAATTGTCTCAATTTTTTTAACATTTGAAAAAAAAAATTGGCCCCGGGAGCCAAATTGACTTTCCGAGTTACAAATTAGTTATATAAGAATATGCCAAAGCAATGAGTGTGCAAAGTTGCATTATGGTGAGCAAAGTCCTTTACCAGACAAAACATTAATATTGCGCTGCTCTATATATTCCTATGCAGAGGCTGGGGGATATCCTCCTCTTCGAAAAAGAAAATTTGTATCAAATTTGCTATTTTTCATTCGTCTAATGTTTATTTCTCAGTTATGTCGTAAATAAGAATTTAATTATTTCCATTCTACATAAACCTGTAATTGTATACTTAAATTCAGCATCTCATGATGTTGGGATATATCCAGATATCAACGAATGCGATTATCCAGACATCTACCCATGTTACGGCGATTGCAGAAACACACATGGAGGATATGATTGTCGGTGCCCTCTTGGCTTCAAGGGCAATGTATCTAAACCAAATGGATGTGAAGGTACTAGAGAAAAGATCAGATTGTTTGATAGCTTTATTATTTGTTTGTTATATGATGTTATCCATTTCTAGGGGTCAGCCAAAGATTGTTACCTTCTTAACATATGGACTATTTGTTCATAAATTTCATGTCCCTTGCTCAGACATTGACGAGTGTGAACATCCGGAAGCATATCCATGTTATGGAGTCTGCATCAACATGCCTGCAACTTTCCACTGCCGATGTGCTAATGATACCTATGGAGATCCATTGATGAAACAAGGATGCATTAGCATCACGACAACAAAAAGGACAACTACAGATAATAATAGCACAATCGTGATGCATCGAGCAATCCATTCTTCCTCAAACAATTTGATGCCTCTTCACCTACGATACCATATTTTACAGGTTTGATCATTGGTCTAGTGGTCACATTGGCGGCGCCAGGGGTATTCACCTGTATTCATGTGAATACCCAAGATTTGGCCCAAACAAATTAGTAGATGTCTTCATTCAACGGCCCACGAGCCCACAGCCCACACAGCATGCCGGCTACAGGCCTACAGCGAGTCCAACACCACATGCCACAGCCGACCACCTCGTTATATTGATTTGCCTCAAAAAAAAACACCTCGTTATATTGATTCGTTCGACCCCAATCCATTCCCCGCTCGGTGTCTCGCCGTCTTGGTCGTTCCCCAACCTAACCTAGCGCGAGTGGCGGCGGCGGCGGCTGTGTGGCCAGTACTGCAAGCACCGGCCAAGGGCTAACGGAGTCGGCGATGGGCGACCAGGTTCCATTCTCCTTGTCGATGTCTTCTCTTAGTTCTCTAATTTGCTAGATTGCAGTTTTGGTATTTTAATCTATCAATTTTCAAAGGGTATAACAGTTTTGGTAGATTGCTGATCTATTTTTTTTCTGACCTTATATCATAGATGAAGAAGGGTATATTTGCATTGTGGGAAAGAGCTTCGAAGGCAAAGAAAACAGCTTCCACATCTACTGATCTACATCAAATCCTTTGCTGGTTTGTAATCTTTCTTAAATGCTAGAGATATTGCCACAATGTCATTTTGTTACTATTATGCATATATGGCAGCAGTGCTGGCATATGGTCATTGGTTAATTGCCGTCAGTATTGATTCTGCCAGTAGCTACTGCTAGTGTTGGAAGGGTATTCTCTTCAATGAGCCATGTGAAGAATAAGTTAAGGAACAAAATGGGTGATGAATATTTGAACAATTGTTTGGTTACATTTGTTGAGAGAGAATTTTTCAATCAAGTGAAGGATGAAGATGTTATCAATCTCTTCGAAAAAGGGCGACCACAGAGTTATAATGTAAGAAGGATATCATCACTTCATCAATCAAAAGGTACTTATGTATTCATGTCCTTATGGTCTGATACATTGAAATATTGATATTGCCGTTATGCTTGTGTTGTTTTGTCCATATATTGCTAGTGTTGTGTTGTTTGGTTCATATACTACATTTGGAGCAAAAAGAAATTGGATGAATACCCAGCCTTCATTTCCTGGCGCTGCCACTGAGTGGTCAGTGGTGGCTCAGTTATTATGCTTCTAGTACTTGCTGCTCCCTTTGTCGTGCGCAAAATCAAGTTAAATAGAGCAAACAAAATGAAAAAAAGATTCTTTGAGCAAAATCATGGGTTGTTGTTGCAACAATTAATATCACAGAAGACAGATTTTGGTGAAAGAATGATCATTCCCTTACTGGACCTAAAAAAGGCGACAAATAATTTTGATAGAACACGTGAAGCCGGTACCGGAGGACACGTGTTGTGTATAAAGGAATTCTAGACCTATTGGTTGTCGCCGTCAAGAAATCAAAGATTGTTGTACGGAGGGAAATCAATGACTTCATAAATGAGGTTGCAATCCTTTCTCAAATCAACCATAGAAATGTGGTGAAGCTAATCGGATGTTGCCTTGAGATAGAAGTCCCGTTACTGGTTTATGAATTCATTTCAAATGGAACTCTCGATCAACATCTTCATGTTGAAGGCCTGAAATCACTATCATTGGACGATCGAATAAGGATTGCACTTGAAGTTGCTACAACTCTGTCTTATCTTCATTCAGCTGCTTCGATGCCAATTTTTCACACGGATATTAAATCATCCAATATACTTCTAGATGATAATTTAACAACAAAGGTATCAGATTTTGGAGCTTCGAGATACATCGCAATCGACCAAACTGGAGTGACTACAGCCGTGCAAGGAACAATAGGCTACTTGGACCGCATGTACTATTATACCGGTCGCCTAACAGACAAGAGTGATGTTTTCAGTTTGTAGAACTCCTAACTAGAAGAAAACCATGCCTCTACCGTAGTGGTGGCAACGACGGTGTTGGTCTCGTTTCACATTTTGTTTCACTACTCGCAGAAGGCAACCTTGATGAGATAATAGATCCTCAACTCACAGAAGAGGAAAATGGGGAAGTCCAGGAGGTAGCTACGCTAGCAGCGATGTGCATTAAATTGAAGGGAGAAGAGCGGCCTACAATGAGGGAAGTGGAGATGAAACTTGGAATTCTGAGAGTTAACATGCGTGCGGCACCTGATATTGCTGCATCAAGGAGATGTGATGGAGGTCATGGTGGATCTCTATGGATGCCAACTGAAGGAGTTGTTGTGGAAGCAAGCAGGCAATACACTATGGAGGAAGAAATATTGTTGTCTGCGAGTTATCCTCGATGATCTTGCTGCAGTGTCCTTGACAACTCGATGTTCCGCATCTTTGCTTCTAATGCATCGCAAGTGAAATATTGAGTTGAAGGAAAAAATAGAAGCATGACAATACAAGCCGTGTGCTTCTTTCTTTGTATTCGAATAAACTATGTATCCTAGTAAAATGGAATCTCCAACCTCTTACTAATGCATATTTCAGTGTGTGGTGGTTTTAGTTTTGGTTTCATGTTAAATTATTTTAAATTTTAGGAAACTCTTCCATTTCAAATACTTGGATATCAATAGTTTTTGTTTCAGGAAGTAAATCATAACCTTCAATATGTTTCTATGCTGATTTTTTAAAGGTTATGTTCTATATTCTTGTGAGAATACAACTAATTTTGCATTCTTGATTGTTGTATAAGATGCAATGTAGTCTGGAGTCTGGACACCTGAAATGCAGGCACTAAAGCTCGCAGTCTGAGTCGGGGTTTGGAACAAGGACCCTAGTTGCTTCAACGGTCTGACGACAGGAATTGGAGAGATATAAACCTGGAAACACAGTAATTGTGGCGACAGCTTGTTGACGCTACATCGGCGTGCAGATGGAATGCCGCTGGCCTCGATCCCTGCGGTGCGAGGCGTCGAAGATACAGCGTATCAGCAGTGCGCAATAGTGTGTCTCGGTCGTCATCGTCGTCTCACCAGCGTGCCGTCGTCGTCAAAATAGACTGAACTGCTCGGTGTCGACGGTGCCCGTACGACGAACCCGGACTGCTCGATCACCATGCCCTGTTCTTCTCTGGACGCCGCCGGTGGCACCGATCGATCGCGCGTCGCAGGCGTTCCAGCGGCTCGTTCAGCGGAGGATCGATCTTGGTGGCTCGGGTCGTGCGCGTGGCTGCATATGTTGCCTGAACCAGAGGTATTGCCCCTCGTGTCGTGCCCGGAGAAACAGAAATCCTCGGGCAGAGTCCCCGTCCTGAACGAACGAGCGTAAAGCATAGGTAGCGTGCGGTTTAGTACCACATCGGCAGACGAGTCGCCTTGGGGCTGGAGGGGCGTCTACATAAGCAGCCCACAGGGCAACCTTGAAACTTACTTACCTGGATGGGGTTGACGGCCGATCAAGAAGGGTCGTGGCCTAGATCAATGACTCGCATTGCACCTGGCGAGTGTGTTGACCTATCATCTCCTTTGTTTGGAGAATGAACGTCATAATTTGTGATAGAGGAGGTACGCGTTCGCGCGGCCTCTATCAATTCTTATCTTCAAATTTTAGTTCTGTATAAGTTCAAACTTTTACCTGGCACTCTGATTGAGTTTCCAGACCATGCGAAATTATAACAAGTGTTCTTTTGAAAACCCATTGGATGTGGCTTCCCTCAATTTAGAGAGACTGAATTGAATTCATCTTTGTCATTGGGGGATATATTTGGGTTTAAAATATGGCGAAATTGGATCGAATTTTTGCATATATGCACATGATGTCATACATAGGAGAAGGCTACAAAAGATATGTGCAAGTCTTTGTTATATTCTAAGAACCTGACATGTTGAATCAGTGAGGTTCAACAAATTGGTAATGAGCCCTTTCCAGATTACGGAGTCAGCACATGCTTGATCAACCAAATAGCTTCGTCCATGGCTGCAAAACGTGTGACGGTGCTATTAATTAAGAATAGTAAAACTGAACCTAATCCCTGCCCTCTCAGTAATTAGGCGTTTCTAGCCGTTGGATTTCGTTACCTGGACATTTTCACCGTTGGATCTTCGTTTAGTTGTACCTCAATCGCGAACTGGGCTAGATGTCAGCCAGGGCAGCTGCTCCCGTAGCTTTTTCTGACCCCTCTGGTTAATTGGGCTGCATCGGGCCCGTTTTCCCTGCTCAGGCCGAACGCAACGAACAAACCTCAGCGAGTACCGCTCCGTCTCCGAAAAGAATCCCTCTACAGAGGGGATGGCGGCGCTCGATGCGGCCGTCGCGGCTTCGATGCAAGCGGCTTGGGCGGCCAACGGCCGGATCCAGGCGAGGCGCCAGTGGATCCAGGCTATGCGCATTCCGCTCGAGGGTACCCAGTACCACTCGATTGAGAGGATACAGGAGCCATGGATCGAGGGTATCCAATGCGGGATGCGGGGTGCGTGTCGCGAGTCGATCTACAGAATCCAGCATTTGGTGGCCGGTCCATTCAACCGGTTGGCGCGGTATGCGGGCAATAATGGAGGTCGATGCTCGCGGCTGGCCGGAGTTGGCCGCGCCTCGCAGGTAAGATCGCGGACGACGGACGAAAGGAGGTTGTGGCGGCTGTAGCGGACCATGGTGCGGCGATGACGGATCAACCGGGGTCCTCGTGATAGGTTCCGCGCCAGGGTCTTAGTCTTCTCGCTGGTGGTGGTAGGGCAGTCGTCAGTCGTCCGGGCAGGGAAGTAGCGCTTCGTGATGCAGGCCAACCTCAATCTGGTTGCCTAATTCTCCATCTTGCTTTTTCATGACTAATTTCTATGTTTCCTGACGGCCAGGGAGTCGAAGCCCTAGCATGCACTCCAGCAGCATGGTGGCGGCTTCCTGCACCATCTCACCATTCGTTGTTATGGGAGGCGATGCGATGAGCTTCTCCTAGCAGCTTGAAGGTGAAGCCAGGGAGGAAGGGAAGGTCGTGTGTCATGCTCGATCTTGACATCTTGTATCGATAGTTGTGGCCAGCAGTGGGGAGCCTACTGAAATCAACTTGTGCGGTCCGATCCCCTCTCTACTTATTTAAACAATGTTCAAATGATACATAATATTCTTAGTTATTTTTTGCAGAAATAAGTCCTGTAATATTTCCCTGCAAGAAAAAGGTCCGTAACATAAATATTTGGATGGTGAAGCTTCCATTGGTGCTCCATGAGCTGATCGCGGACATGCGGGGCAACGGCAGCCATGGCGCGCGGCGGCTGGCCTTGCTCAAGCAAACTCTCTTCCCAATTAAGTTTTTGTGTCCCGTGTTTCTTTGAGCTATCTAGAGACTTTGATTTCCTTAACAGTTTGGTTCACGTGTTTGATGCAATGCACAAGAGGAACCATTGTGCTCAACGGTCTTTATTTTCTATGTGTGAATAGCCGAGGAGTACATCATGTACTCACTACAGTATATGCCATTAAGCTCCATAGTCCATTGCTGTAACGGATGTTCATATCAACTTACCATACAGTTTATGTTTCAGGTACAAAGTGTGTTGGCTCAAGAGCCACCAGAGTTATTCGCTTCTTAATATTTGGACAGTTGCATTCCGGAATATATGAGACATGCATTTGAATTAAGAGATGGAGGATCTGAATATACCTTGCAAAAGGTGCTCCATTAGGGGGAACTGCTAATTTTGATAATAAAATAGGTGCCATCAGATCAGTGTATTGTTAGCCAGAAAATCCTCGAGCTTATAATTTCTAGATATTTACGGATTCAGAACTTAAGAGTGGGCGGCACCAATGATACACCTGTTCATTGCGGTGTTCAACTTCACTACTAATTAGGACAAAGAGCTAGGTGATGATACCCATTGATGTTGAATGCTCGAGGTAAGTGTATTATTACCCTGCATTTTCGCTTGGTCATGTGGGTTATAATCAACTATGAAATTGTGCACAGTTCACTTATAACATATATGACCAAGCAAATAACATAAATGTTGTTGGGCTGCAAGCATCCTCCTTGTGCTGCGATGATGCATCATGCATTATGATTTTATAATATTCCTTTTACACCAATCTTCTGAAGTTAAACATGAATGCAGATATGGAGTATTTCTATGAGAGTTGTACAACGGCAAGCATTTTTTAGGTGGTTTAGGAACTTGTGTCAGAAGTTTCCTTTGTGGCGTTCAAGTTATAAAGTAAAATACCATTTGGTGGCTCACCTTTTTTTCACTTCTTGTATTAACCTAATTATGTCTCCTAATTTTTTGTAAAATAACATTATCACTAATATCCCTGCTAATTTTATAAGGTCACATAAATACAATATTTTAGTTGGACAGATTATGCAAAGTACATGATAATAAAACAGACCCATACTGATCTAATTGAGATTATGCACTGAAGGTTCTATCCTAAAATAGCGAAGGTTAATTTAAGATTTCTCAAGATGGCTAAGAATGACCTTCCTAGCTACTGTGAAGTAATGTGATGATCCCTTTGATTACGTTTTCTCTCTCTCTCTCTCTCTCTCTCTCTCTCTCTCTCTCTCTCTCTCTCTTGTGAACTTACACAATTGGAAAAACCAACCTATTTTCCCAAATTTCGAAAGCATTGAGCTTTTTTGTTTCTTTCTTTGTGTATACTTCTCTTATAGTTCTTATAATAAGCACTTGTTGTTAATATGCATATCATAATTAGATGCTTTTTGGTTGATAGTTTTATTAATAAAATTTTAAAACAAAGGGGTTTTAGTTGCTCAATATAATGGTTTGCAATGGTTTGGTGCTCAGTATAATTGTCTAGTATTAAATAAATAAAATAACATTACTTTCATCAATTTACCATCCTTTTAAAACACGTATTTATCATCAATTCTGAAATAGGTCAAATCAGTTAATGAGCGAGTACCAAAGTTTACAAAATGATTTGATAAACTGCCAATGAGATGTCAATGCGGTAAAATCAAGAACAAGTGTGGCTTACGATGGGCAAGAACAATGAGCAGCCATAAATTTCAAATAAGGAAAACCAAGATCAAACAAGTTAATGTGTGTGTTTTTGATTTCAATGCCAAGGGAGATATTTTAAGGCTGATTTATAATGTTTTAGAGCTGTCATTTTACTGTACAATATGATGTTTTCAGAGCCAGATTTTAGAGATCGGTCTTACAACTACAGTACACAGATTACACTTCATGCTCCCTTTTACTAATCCAAAATATTAAGTTCATTGTCCTTAAATTCTAAGAAACTTATTCCATATTTAACATCAATATTCCATGCCATCGTATATTTATCAGATTTGTTATCATTATACTGAAAAAGAGACGGGCGCGGCAACGCGCGC